GATTTCACGTTGAAATCTCTACCATATTATTTTCGTTGAATGTTGTCTCTACGCTGTCTGTATGACATACTTCTTCAGTTCTGGGGCTACCCGGTGTCCAGGTACTGGGAAGCACAATGGCTGAACGAAATAGCTCGAGGTCAACAAATTTGTGCACTCAAGCAAAAGTGGGATGGCTGATTTGTGATTTTCTTCCAACTTGACCAGGATGGGTTTTCAGTCCCAATAATATAGCCACCTGATCACCTGCATATAATCTGCAAGCTAAGATAGATACGAAAGTCAGATTTAGGTGCAACAAGGTGACAACTATTTTGTGGCTCGCAAATCATCAGAAATTTAAGTTGCGACCTTAAGTCCCTATAAATTCAAGTGTAAAATAGACCAGTCAAAACTGTCCCAGTTAGGCTATCATGACAGTGGACGCATAAATTATAACTTCATGGCTAACAACGAGAGGTTGTCCGTCCCAACAAGAAATAGACACCGGTCCAATGTAAACTACAAAACTGTTTAATTCACATGGAAATGGAAAATGGCAAGACACTCGCAATACTAGTGTTTGTCAGTACGATATCAGACTGACAATAGGAGACAGGAGTAAAGGAGAAATAGGAGAGGAAGTACATCGGTGAAATATTGAGAGAAAAAAGAGGACAGGACCAGTAGTGAGGAAGAAGAATCCGAACCAAATAGTAAACACGAAAGTGCCTCGCAAATATTACCCTGCATCCATTAGCTACTGAAAATAAGTCAGTTTTTTTAACGTCGCCGCGTGCTTCTCAAGAGTGGCTTCTTTCTCGGATTTCGGTGTATTATACCGAGTCAGCAGCTTATTTTATCGCAAAAGATCGGTCTGCTGGGATGGACAATGGTGTTAAGTTAGCCTTATGCAGTTCCACCTGTGCTCGCTGTTTCAAGTGTCTTGGTATGGTGGAAGGAACTGCAAGGTCTCTGAAACACTGTACTGTGGTCACTCGGATCTGGTTAGGGATTGAAGAATTCAAAGGATGAGACGAGTAACCTGGTGGGAACTGTATCTTCCTTATGATTTGTATGACTTTCTTTATCTATGAAATGGTGTATCTCCTACTGAGAGTTTAACTAGGTTCCCCACTTCACGTGCCCTCTGACGTTTTTTCAAAAAATAAATATTTGGAATTAGAATTGGTCCTCTTCAATAATACCATCCATCGGTCTGTAATTCTAGTGGCTATTCCGATAGGAATGTCGTCTTCTGAAACACCTGAGGAAGAAATTTCTCCATTTTGCTCCTCATCTTATTACTCCTTGTTCCACAGCCAATACAAACGAAGGTGATAAATACAGAAAACAACAACCTCCTCCACGGTTTAAGTGTGAAACTTGGACATTGTGGTAGAGCATAACTCTACTATGGATAAGATGTTGAAATCGCCAAACGCATATGCCAGTTACCTGTGGTCGTAAATTGAGTTATGCAATACGAAATAATGACATTTCACCCTGACTCTCTGAGTGATCTCTGGTTTATATTGAGGGCTTATGGAATGTCAGTGAGCAAGAATACGACTTCCAGCATTCAGTTACATGAAAAGTGCTGGCGCCAAAGCTTTCGAAAATTCTAACATAAAAATGTTACCGGTCGTAGGAAGGCTTATGCAGGTTTTACTTAGATTCAGTAGCTATAGAAGAAGACGGTGCTCTATCAAAAATAAAGAAGTGGCACTCACATTTCCCTACTATTAGACCCGCTAACGTATTCTTACCATCCCCCAACACTTTAAAACCCCTGGCTCTGATATGTCATGTGTATGCACCTTGTTTTCTGCATCAAATATTCACTATCACCAAGGATGTCTACGATATTATTAACTACCTTAACCAGATAAGCTAATATGCTTGAGAAAAGAGAGGCCCCGAAACGCCTTGAGGAATTAAAAGTCCGGTATTTATTGTGGATCTTATTGTTTAGTGATAAACTAATGAAGATGATAAGATAGAGGGGAAATTATAAGATACTGGTTGTGCTGTTGATTGGCTACACTACACTAGTGTTAATAAAGGTAGTGTGCCTTATTTTACAATATATCATTGCCCTACGTGACTTGTAAATAGTGATAACGAGATACAAATCAAGAGGACAGTTATTCAGTCATTTTCCCTGGTCAGCAGCACTGTGTAAGCATGTCGTTTCATCCCTGGGCTTTCTGCAAACATTTTGGTCACTAGTGGAGACCTTCATTGGTTCACTGACATACAAGATAAAAAGCATGGGTTGAACACATTTACTCATGACACTACTACATACTTCTGTGCGTCAAGAAACTTTTGAGTTAATCCTTACTTTCTGTCTGGTGTAGCTTGGAATCCATCTGAGGAGACTTCGCTCCACTTAGCTCCAGAAACCCTTATGTTAGAAATCAGCTGCTGCTGGTGCCAGAAGACAAATATCTGAATCTCAGAGTCATTTATGTAATACAGGCAATACCAGAAAGCATGCATATAATTCGGGAATTTGATAGTCGAAAATAAACTGGTACAACAAGGTTACTGACACGCATAATCGTGTTGTGAGCAGTGTACCGCCGTATAAAATATATACCGAATCTGGATATAATACACATCAATAATTCTGGTGGTGTCGCCATCGTCTCCAATTGACCAGTAGTCGAATGAGCCACGACAAAAATCTTGAATCCAGCTCACAGGAGACGGACTCGGATGAATGGAGCTATGACAGAGCACTTAAGCGTTTCCTAAAACTGACATGGGGTACTATAAAACCTTCGTTAACTTTATTTCAGAACCGAAGCGTCCTCTAACGGCTGATAGAGGACGCCGAATTCTTCTCTACTTATCGACATTATTTCACATTACATCTTACATGGTTTTTGTCTTCTTGTCTTTAGTTTGTGGGAATTATGTGATAACCAGTGATCAGTTAGTCGTTCGTAAGTAGCTGAGCAACGCACAGGGATTTTTGTTTCGATTTGAGATGTTGCGTGCTAAGTAACTTCGTTTCCTATGTAATGTGCACTGTTTTCTGTTTCGAATTATTTCGTGATACTTTTAATCTTACAGGCTATAGTCAAGATATTTGAAGACAAACTCCTCGGCATCATATAGAAGAGTAATTCGCCTGACAACTATTGATGGCGGACTCATTTTATCTTCGTTATTACGTCGGACATAAAGGAAAGTTTGGGCACGAGTTCTTGGAATTTGAATTCAGACCTGAAGGTTAGACGAACCCATCCCTAACATACTTTGCTTCTTTAGGAAAATTGAGGTACGCGAATAACTCCAATTACAAGAATGACACAATGATACGGAAAGAAGTAGGTCTATTGCATATATTTCACTACAAGTCAGGCATATGTAAGTAAATCAGTGATGGAAGAGCTGAAAAGAATTGTGCTGGAGAGTGATATAATGACAGAGGATGATGCAGCGTGGCCTGTTCCAGATAGAGTTGGTCGTCAGGAGCTCGAGATTGTGTGTGGAGACGAACACATCTCATTTACAACTTCTAAAATAGGATCCTTAATTGACATTACCAACAGCAAGTAAGTTCATTTAAATTGATATATATCGTTTTAGAGATCCAGATGGTTTAAGGACATATTACTACCTCGTTCAAGATCTCAAATGTTTGGTGTTTTCATTGATTGGGCTGCATTTCAAAATAAAACCTATCTAAATTTTCAAAAATCACTTTTACTTCTTTGTTAAGAAATAAAACGAAAATCTATGTGAGCTGTATGCCAAACGATACAGTCAAGGATTGAAATCCCAAAGCAACCGTTGCATATATACAAGGTGTATGATTGTAATTAAAGCTCAACCCGACTAGTTTCAAGATAGAAATTAGCAAACAAATGAAACAGTTTGAGTTGTCGCACAATATAGCAAACGGAGTAAAACAGCGCGAAAGCGAAGGCTTTTTCAGCGTCCATTATGCACCAGTACAGTGACTTCGTCTCTCACAAAACTCCACATATCAGTAACCATTACCCTGAGAAACAGACTGACACTTACACCGCAATCCACACAAACATCTCGTCTAGCTAGAGATTAGCTTATAAGACATTAGAGAGTAACGTCTATAATCGTGAGGCTATCGGACTGAAGGTGGATTTCACTGACGTACTGCTACACTAGCTACATTCCTGGCTTTTCTCCATCTAAATCATGATTATATTGGATATTTGATTTCAGTCTTCATCCTCGCTTTTCGCTGGTGATGTCTGTTTTATGCATGACGCTTGTTAGTTATGCTGATGATAGGAGATGTGGGGAGTTGTAGGTGTCTGGAGAATAATAGTATACGAAAAATTTTGGGCCGGGGGGGGGTAATTATTTCCAGTTGGAAGTTGTGTGAGAGCGTAATAAAATTGTAGGGTAGCGGAGGTGAGAGACTGTTCTGGGTTTAAATTTGTCTTGATTATGGTTGGTTGAATTTTCAGTCTGTAATGTATGAATTGTCTTTCGATCTGTGGAGTATGCCCTAAACTACGCTAGATATTCTTCACATTGAAATGTTTGCCATTTTGAATTTTGAGGTGTTGCATATATAATCTTGTGTTGATGAATAACGTACGTATATATGCATCTTAACTACAAGATTCCAAACAGCATTGGGTACAGTACTGATGTCCTTTTCGATTGTACGTATATATGCATACATATAGATATGTATATAAATATGTAAGCATAAACTCGACTTGACAGTACGGCCGTGTGCAATAAACAGTAGAATGTGATGATGACGGTTTTACAGAGTGATGATGAATGATGGGGATAGATGAAAGCAAGGCATCGAGGTCATATCGTGTATTAGTCAAGTTTGAATCTATTGTAAAGACGTCAATCAACTGAGATAAATGTATTCTGTACATTTTAGATTGTAGATTAATAATAATGATAATGCAGTTAGTTGATAGGAAGACTATTATTATTATTATTGATATTATAAGAGTTGCTCTTCAACAGGGGAAATGAGTGGGGAGGTTTTGTGCTCAATCTTGATCTAGTGAAATATCTTCGGATGCTTCAGATGCTCCTTCTTCTGTCTTCTGAAATATAAAAGCAAGAAGTTAATTTTAATGCTTTGGAATGATGGAAGTGAGAGGCAGATTAATTTTTTCCTTAGGTGTTAATATGTGTACAGTGAGTAGTCTGACACTGTAGGTATGTGAGAATAGCTAAGGTGATGACTGATTGACTTATTGCTATGGATCTATTTGTGATCTCTTCTTATTGCTTATCTCTAAGGATTATCCCTTATATATCGGTTTCAATTTTTCGTCTTGGTTATCTGCATTTCTCTTAGAATATTAGCTGGTTATATTCAGTGCATATCTCTGTCAACATAGGCGGTGAATACTATCAATCTCATCAACTGACTTATATTCATTACTTGTCCGCTTTTGCCATAAGTCATTATGACTGATGGAAATCGCTGCACTTAAAACGTGACTTTGTGAACCGTGGTACTTATTACCAGGATCCTTCAATCTTTTCATTTTTCACTGCCTTGTCTCCCTTCCGCACAATAGACACTTTTCTGTTGATGGATAGCATTATATTGTTTGTGTGTCTTTTAAGAATAAACCAGTCAGCAGAGAGCCAGTGTACCTTTTTCGTCCGTGTTTGGGATTCTATTATGGGTAAATTTTGTTTTGATAAAGTCTCACAGTGTTATAAAGTTATGTTCACTGATGACGTTTCGAGCACAATTTATTGCTCATAATCATATCAAGGTGTTTGGGATTGTTAAGGTGTCATTGTGACTAAGAGTCTCCTTTCTATTCCTTATGTTGAAACCTCTATCTACATTTTATCTGTTATCCGTTTCAAATTGCTGACACATTGAGCTGCAATCTGCGAATGTTTGGCATGCGATTCCCCCCTGCTGTCAAATGTAATATGATGAGGCTACAGGACTGAACTGGACTACATTGACTCCTAGCTTAAAGACAGGCAGGAGTGAAGTGGTAGAGCGTGTTGACCACTTGACTTATTTGGTGAAGTTTCATCAACCAACGCCAGCAGGTTGATCGCTGACGAAATCCCAGCACGGATACAGAAGGCCAGTCTCGCATATGCCAGTTTACTCTGTCTCTGGCTAAGTAGACGTGATATCCGGCTATCGACCAAAGAACGTGTGCACTGCTCAGCAGTCCTCCTTTGTGGATGGCTGGCTGTGAGACCTGGCCATTGAAAGTGGAAGACATGAAAAGACTGACTAGCTAGCTGTCTTTGATCATAGGTGCCAGTGTTCTATCTCCCGTGTCAGGTGGTGGTGTAAAAGGGTGAGGAATATTGAGGTTAGACTTCGGTCAAGTGCTAAGTGGGGAAGAGAAATCAATAGACAAGACTGTGAAGCTACATCGATTGAGAGAGATGGTTAGGGCACGTGTTACGCATGCAAGACTAGCCATCGCCTTCCTCGACAATGGGCAATGTTAGCTGACATAGGGTGGATGCATCAGGTTGGAAAAGAGCTAGCCAGTGCTGGTGATCTCAGTGATGGCTGGCTGGCGCAGATGCATCCACTCATTGTGACTTATAATATCCAATAAAAATATTGTTCTTCCATATTACTATTCCTTTTGCTTCCGAATTCTGTTTGTTATCTCTCTGTTTTGCATTTCTTTTACTACTCTTGCTTCGTGTGCTAAGTGAAGTGTGGCGACTCGAACTGCTGCACATCGGTGCAAAGTTCTATGTTGAAACCAAGCAGTCGAATTTCTAGCAACCTTTCCATTCAGTCAGTGTCACTTGGATTACTAGAATATGGTGTAACAGAATCATGAAGTAGCGTATGATAGAGTTACAGGTCTTAAGTGCAATTTAGTTTTGTAGTGACAGAGCCCAGTCACTGAATCTTATTCATTTTATCAAAATGCTATACACACATGCATATTGGACATTGCAACACCAGTATATCTGAAATATGACAAAAGCAACCACCACCGGCTAATGTCATCAGCGAGTAGGTTTCCTCACTCCCCACCGGATGGACCCCACTAGTTACGATTTCTCATTAGAACTATTGGCATTTTCGTCGTGTGGTGTAGCCAGTCTCTGGTGATTTAGGTATTTGAATCCCACTGGGTGCGTACTGATGTTGAGTTGAGGACAAGAAAACGAAATACGTGTGTCCAGTACTCTCTACTGGTTTTCATGGTTCTCTAACTGAGTTATCAATCCGTGGTCAAAATCTTGAAAAAACAAATCAAAACCCTACAGACAATAATTGCACCATATAAAAAATTCTGAAAGTTATGTGAGTACACTGACATGAGAAATGAACAACAGTCTGTGTTGGAAAAGCTATCACTAAATAAAATACTCTGTCGGATACTATGAGTGGGCAAAGTTCAACAATAGCGTTCGCATCCCTTGGAACGCTCTTGTTGAACTTTGCCCTATCAGTAGATTTTGCAGTGTGGTCACTATGCTAGCTGGTTCGCCATCGCGATGCACTGAAAATTGCTGTTATTAGATAGTCGTGGAGGCAATGGGAAGGAAGCATCCATCGCCTGACCTAGTTTTCGAGTTGTTTGCCACTCAATCGTATCTACAATTTTGAAAGAACAACTCTGAGATTTGAACTGGTATCAACAAGCACAAAACTTAAGTACAAGGCTTCCGTCCTATTCTGAGTGCATCGTGATGGCGAACCAGCTGGCATAGCAGTCCTACTGCATGATTTGTTGATAGAATTCAGTCTGCATCAAACCGCCAAGGACTAAACGACGCATGGCACTATAGTTACTTACAACCTAGTGTTGATTCAAGGCATCTAATACACTCGTATGTGGGGTGAAACCCAAGCTCAGTAGTGGTAACTTCTTTGACTGCAGCACTGGGTGATGAGGATTCAAATCTCAGCTGGGACTTGAGTTCCTTCAAGTTTGTAGATACACCCTTCAGAATGGTGGTAAGTGCCAACAAGCACGAAAGCTATGCAGATTGGCATCCTTCAACTATCTGAAATACTGTGTGAATTAAAGATACTATTATGCAAAATGAAATCTGTAAAATTTAGGTGATAATCGATATGTATGTTACTTAGTTTATGGTGGTGAATGGTCGTAAATATGGGATGTCAGTCTCGCTTAATACGGGACACCCCAACGCAATAAAGTGGAAGCAATTCCATTGTGGGTGAAATTTATTTTGTTAAAATCACAGAGTGTTATACATTAATATTTACCGACGACAACGTTTCGAGCACAACTTTCTAAGGTCGTTCATATAATTCCATTATTTTTCATCGCTTGACTTGATTGGTAGTACTAGGAGTAGTAGTAGTATTTTCCATATTTCCTGTATGAGTGATGAGTCATTCCTATTGTACGTATTGTGTTGGGTGTAGATTATTGGATGAACAAGGATTCAGTAATCAACCTCAGTTATGCCTCACATCTACTGCCTTTAAATTCCAGGGCAAACAGAAGGTGTGTAACAATGAGATGGATCACCAATATCCCCTATCGTAGCAGATATCTTCATGGATGGATAGCTGGGAAAATATTGCTCTTAATACATTCACCTAATCCTGCTCTAAAAATATGGGGGAGATATGTGGATGACAGTTTCACACACACACACAGTGTTAAAAACAGAACATATCTCTGTCTAGCTTCTTTGCACGCGCGCGCACACACACACGCAAACTTACTAGTAAAGGGAATAAAATTCACGTTCAAGTCGGAAAATGAACAAGGAGAATTAGCTATGATGTTAGATTGTAAAATAAAATGAAGAGAAGAAGGTAAACTGCACACTAGCGTTTATAAAAAGCCAACACATTCTGCTGATAGATATTCAGACTTTAATTCATCTCATCCGTCCGTTATCTGTCTGTGAAGGCAGACTTAGTTAAGTGTCTAACAAACCGAGCAGTAGCACTAAATGGTGCAAGAAAAGGGCTAAATGATGAAATAAAAAAGACAGAAGAAGCGTTGGTGTTAAATAACTAACTATCCTATAAAATTCATTAGGAAGATCAGAAAAGGTTAAAAGCAAAATAAAAATGGTGGTAAAACTAATAATGATAAAATGGATAAGAAAGAATACAAGGCATCTATACTTTTACCATATAAGGAGGGGACAGCTGAGACCCTACGTAGGATTCTTAAAAAGCAGGAATTGGAGTCGTGGCATTCAAACCCAGTTGACCAAATTAGACAAAATAATATAATTTACAAAATACCTTGCAATTACTGTGAGTTAGGTCAACTACATAGGTGAAACTAGTAGAACAGGAGTAGCGAGATTATCGGAACACATAAGAATTTAGCTAAAGTAGGAATGGTTGACCCCGTGAAGATAAATAATTTGGAAAAAGTGACTCACTACCACATTGCACTGCATGCATTAACACACACACACACACAATAGGGTGAGACAGGGTCAAGATTCTAAGAAATAATACAGTTAGGTAGGTAGAGAGATTGATTACTGAATCCTAGGACACTGAGTCTACACACCCAACACAACACATGCCCTAGGAATGACTTATCATCACTGATACATGAATTATGGAAAATACTACAACCAATCAAGTCAAGCGACGAAAAAGTTATGTGAGTATAGCCTTGATATGATTATGAGTAGTAGCAATGATAAATTGTGCTCGAAGCGTGTGGTTATCAGTTAATATTACTGTATAACAAAAACACTGTGTGTGTGACACTTTATCTAACTAAAATTTCATCCATAGTGGAGTTGTACTTTATCACCACAGTGCCCAAGTTTTATCTTTACATGTGTAATTTAGTTTTAAGATAAATATACAATCAGTTTCACATACATGTATTCTAAGAGTACTCAATATGGACAGATTTATATATATATAGCTTTGGCTTTACTTATTCAGGATATTGCTAACCACTGTCATCGATTTTATGTAAACAGCCAGCAGTCATAAGTTTTGATCTTTTGAATAAACAAGCAAGTTTTTTTACCCAGAGCTAAGCAGATTCAACTGACTGAACACATCTTGGTTTAGAAAAGTAACAGTAGATTGAGTGAAGAAATCCTGCATTCCTTTACTTCAATG